TAGTTCAATCCTCTGGACTTGTATTTAAAAAGCAGGGTGCAGTGGCACACTTATAGTTCCAGCACCAGGGAAGCAGAGACATGGGGACTCTTGGGACTCAATGAGTAGCCGACCTAACTTCATGGGTGAGTTCCAGGCCAATGAGAGACCCTATCTCAAAAATAAACTGGAAGACATTGCTGTCTGGGCTCTACATGCATATGCACACATGGGTATCCCCACTCACCGTGTCTCAACCCCAAAAAAACAGCTAAGGAGGAAAATAAAGGGGCAAGGAATATTCAGAAGGTGTGAACAGGAAGGCCCCATAAGATGATGACATTTAGGCAGAGACCCAAGAATTACAGATTCGAGCGAAGACCCTGTTTCAAACATGAAAGTGGGTAAGAAGTTTAAGAAAATATGGAGAGAAGATGAGAGCAGATACCATCTAGGTAGCTAGTGAAATCATTCCAGGCAGAGGGAAAAATGGTGCAAAGGCCCTGAGATAGAAAGATGGTTCTACCCCCAGCAGCTTGTGCGCACACACACGAGAAAAGAGATGTGTTTATGAGCAGGGGACAGAGGAATAGAGGTTGAAATGTACAGAAGATGTCTTTCAAAAGTCAATTATTCAGGTACGGAAATGCAACCTGGGGACCACTTCACTTCTCCTAGGTTGGCTATCACCATAAACAAGATGTTGCAAAGGCACTGGTGAGGGTCCAGTCCTAGTGCATGGCGATGTGAAAGCTTACATGCCACACCAAATCCAGTAGATTCTGTGTGACACGTTCCACAGACTGAGGCAATAACTTCAAAAGAAGGAGGTCTCCTGGAAACGGCTGTGGAACTCTCAGCAGGAGAAAAATATTGGGCTGTGGCAATTTCTTGTGGCAATTTTTGTTTGTTCTTCTATTCCTTTTTTTCCCCCACATTAATGAAATGTTCCTAAAAGTCTATGCTGACATTATTTATTTATTTATTTATTTATTTATTTATTTATTTGGAGACAGGGTTTCTCTGTAGCTTTGGAGGCTGTCCTGGAACTAGCTCTTGTAGACCAGGCTGGTCTCTAACTCACAGAGATCCACCTGCCTCTGCCTCCCAAGTGCTTGGATTAAAGGCGTGCGCCACCAACAACCGGCTCTATGCTGACATTTTAAACAAAAGAAATAGATAAGAAACCATCCTCTGAGATGGGGTCACTAGCCATGAACTCATCTCAGGAAAAACGAGCACTTTCTAAATCATTCATGTCATTCACATAAGTACAAATAGTAAAAACTTTCCCAACAATAAAATTTCATTAGGCTGTACATATGTCATCGAAAGTGGGCTTAAGTATCCAAAAGAAATAGATAAGAAACCATCCTCTGAGATGGGGTCACTAGCCATGAACTCATCTCAGGAAAAACGAGCACTTTCTAAATCATTCATGTCATTCACATAAGTACAAATAGTAAAAACTTTCCCAACAATAAAATTTCATTAGGCTGTACATATGTCATCGAAAGTGGGCTTAAGTATCCGGTAACGAAAGCTTTTAATAAGAAAGAGTTAAAATAGTTAAAATAGCTCAATACTTCAAAAACTCACAAGAACTAGGTAATAGATGTTAAACAATAACTGACCATAAAAATACATTAATTTGATTTAAGAAATATGTGGTTGGCCTTGGATGATCCGATGTTAGTCAAGGACGGTCTTATGTTTTGACTAATCAAGGACAAATTTTATGTTTTGATTAACCCTGAATGATTCTATGTTTTGGATTTCGGTGTCACTGTGCCAAGTAACAATAATGTCATATGTTTGGGTTTGTTTAACAAAAACATCCCCTGAGAAAATATCTCTGTAAAAACAACCTTGTTTGAGAACTGCAAAATACACTCAGATTCAAACTTCCTCTGTGTTTGTTTCTGTTTGTCACCGCCAAATCCTTACTCACCTATTCATCGAGGACCCCCATCCTAGGGACTCCCATACCCAGCTGGGGTGGTCCATGGCACTAACAGTCTGGCAACTCCTCAGAAACAGGGAGCCAGAGGACGGTTCAGCAGTGAAAGGTGACTGATGAAGACCTGAGATGAAAGTTGTGCTATGATTTCCATACATGTTAGGGGCATCCTCACATATGTGTACACATGTGCATGCATACCCACATATACATTAAATAAAATGCAAAATCAGTTTTGGAAAGTGAAACACAGAGTTTGGGATGTATCTCAATGACAGAGTGTTGCCTACCAAGTGCAGGGTCCTAGGTTCTACCCCCAGCAACACACGTGTGCACGCACATACACACACACACACACACACACACACAAACAGAGAAGCTGGATCTGTAGTGTATGTTTGTGATCTCAGTGCTAGGGAAGCGGAAACAGGAAGGTTCCTGAGGATGCCACCATGCTAACCGTGATGGAGAGGTCTGGGTAAAGTGAGAGACCCTGTCTCAAAATAAAGTGGAGAGTAACTGGGAAAAACACCTGAGGTAACCACTAGCCCTCCATCTGTGCATTTCCAGCTATACACACACAACAATAACCAACCATACCACCCCTTAAAAAATGAAAAGAAAAGAAACCACATGAGTCAGTAACTCCATCCCTGGGATTGAAACCAGGGACTTGAAAAAGTGCATATCCATGAGTGTTCATAACATCTGTATTTATAAAACTCAAAAGACAGACAAAGCCTGAAAGTCCAACAATGGGTACCTGGATAAACACATTGTGGTATGTCTATCAAGTGGAATATTATTCACCTCCAGAAAAGAGATGGAATTCTGATGCATGTTATCACATTGACAAACCTAAAGAAAAAAAAGAGCTAAGATTAGTAAAAGAGACACATACATAAGGTCACAGTATTAAATTTCCATTACTGTAACAAAATGTAATCAACTTATTAGAGGGAAAGAGTTATCTTAGTTTATGGCCATAGAGGCTTCAGTCTCTCACCTTTATTGCTTTGGGCTTGTGGGAATTAGCACATCATGGCCAGAGTCTCCATGAATTCCAGGAAGCAAAGGGAGACAACAGACCTGGGTACAATATCCCTTCCCAGGGCACATTCCCAATGACCTAATCTTCTTTCACTTACTTCACCTTTTAAAGCAGCTGTTCTCAACCTGTGTCCCATATCAGGTATTTGCATTACAATTCATTAACAGTAGTAAAATTACAGTTGTGAAGTAGCGTAGTTTTATGGTTGGCAGTCACCACATGAGGAACTGTATTAAAGGGTCACAGCATTAGGAAGGTTGAGAACCACTGATAAAGAAACAAACAAGGGTTGAAGAGATGGCCCAGGAGTTCAGAACATAGCCTTCTACAGAGGACCAGAATTCAGCTATCACTAATTCTAGTTCCAGGAGATCCAATGCTCCCTTCTGTCCTCTTAGGGCATTCATACGCATGGTCTCAGGTGTGCCCATGTAAACAGTAACTACTGCTGGGGAGAGGAGACTCTCAGAGTAGCTAGGCTGCCTCCTACTTGAGTAGGAAGCTCCAGGTATCGTCATCCTCCAGGCTGACCCAGGTGGCTTTTCAGGGATGCCTTTGAGTAAGCCAAAGTAAGAAACCTCAATATCTCAACCTCACCATGTTAGACTTGAGTAAAATCATCCCTTTGTTCTGTCTTTGTTCTGTGTCTTCCCTCTTCCAGCGGAGCCACACCCCAGCCTCTTACTCAATAAGCTTCACTAACTAGCCTTTATCTATCCTTTATCTACCTACTCATAACTCACCACCCCGAGAGACTCTCCTTTGTCACTTGAAGAATACTGTCCTTGGGGCTGACTGGGAATGTGGCTCAGTCAGTAGGTAGAACATGTCCCCAGCACTGCACAAAAAGGACTTGGTGGCGCATACCTGCCATCCCAACACTCTGGATGTAGAGGCAAGAGGATCAGGAATCCAAGGCCACTTCTGGCTACAAATTCAGTTGGAGGCCAGCCTGAATTGCATAAGATCCTGTTTGGTAACACTCAAAATACTGGTGTCATAACTCCACCCCCACCCCAAATAAACCCCATGTTAAATTCAACCCTCCTTTGCCATCTCCAGGTGGATATAGACCGAACGCCTTTAAGTGGCCACCTTTGTCCTTCCTGGAAAAGAGAAATCTGTGTATTTTGTTGTGTATCATACACACACACACACACACACCCCACATGCTAAGGTGTAGCTATGGAAGTCAGAGGACAGTTTGCTGGGAGTCAGTTTGTCCCTTCCAACATGTTCGTCCCAGGAATGGAGCTCATGTCATCAAGCTTGACCCACAAGCACCTCTATCCATTGAATCATCCTGCTGACCCTATGTAGGTCTTTTCTTTCTGTTTATCGTTAGTTTTTTTCTGAGACTCAGTCTCTCTATGCAGTCCTAGCTATCCTGGAGCTCCCTATGTAGATCTGGCTGGCCTAGAACTCACTGAGACTCTCTGCCTCCTGAATGCTGGAGGCTCATTTTCTTCTAAAGGTGCCTTGTAGCCCTTCAGATGCCTTGCAGCCTTGTGACACATGCTTGTCATCCCAGCACTTGGGAGAGTCAGGAATTTAAGGTCAGCCTGAGTACATAGGATCCTAAAAAAAAAAGAAATCTAAAAATCAAACAACCAAGCAACCTCAAAGAAAATGAAAATTAAGATGCCTTGCTGTGAGAGTACACCAGTCACACATGCTCACTACAGACAAGTTGACAAAGCAGGCCGCAAGTGCAGCCCACTTTTAAGGAGAAATCCCTTTTGTGTGGGTCTGATATATGCTTTGGCTTGGATTTTTTTTTTTTTTTCCAAAGTGGACAATGAGTTAATTTTGAAACATTTTGCTTGCGGAGTTGCCTAAGCAGCCAAGGAGCGGATTGCAATAGGCTCGGAAGGTCATTCTGGGTGCCTGGGGGCAGGGAGTACAGGTTTAGCAGCAATACATTTGCACACTGGGTTCAGGTTAGCTCGCCAGTACTGGGACAAAGGGCCGCAGTGCGCCTGCGCCAGCCTTCAACTCTTTCCGGAAGGAGTTTTGCCCCGCCCCGGGTGACGTCAGGACCGAGTTGCCATGGCGCTGCTGAACAGTCTGGCTTCCTCGCTGGAGTCTTACAGGGGCCGGGACCGCCTGGTGAGAGGAGGCTTGGGTCCGTGCTGGGTCGGAGTGACCTGGAGTTTGGTCAGAACTCAGAGATGGGGAAACAGGCCAGGGAGGGGTTCCTTAAAGGGACCCGTATAGGTACAAGACACCCCAAGACCAAGTTCTCAGCACAAAGATTCATTTGCCCCAGGAGGACAAAGGACAGGGAATAAGAGACAAAGACAGGAGCTAGAGGACGAGAGAGAACTAGGACGAGAGGGTAACAAGGGAGAGGGGACAAAGAACTGCTTCTGCATAGAGAGGAGACAGATGTGGCCCATAGACAACTGGCAGTTTATGAGGGTAAAAGGGAAAACCCCTTGTTTGGGTGAAGTGTTTGATTTAAATTGGGCATGTTAATTAGGGTAGCCAAAGGGGGCTTTTGGTCGCTGGACTAGAGTACTTTGGTAGCTGAATCTTGGTAGCCTCGGGAGGAGGAAGTGGCCAGATGAAGGAATAGACCCTTGGGTGCTAACTTTAGGAATGTAATATAATGATTTTTTAGCATGGTAGAGACTTGCCAGCTAGTCCCTTCAGGTTCATGTCCCTCTGGATCGATCACACTGTCATCTGGTGTTGGACATTTGGGGTCAAACCTGCCAATCCGGCCCTGCTGAATCAAATAATGACTAAGATCTCCAGGCCACTGGTGTTCTCCGGTTGTTCTGAGCAGCCTCAAATAGGGCTTAGCACATTGCTTCCCCTGTAGCCGAACATTTGTAATGACAGAATCACCTCCAGTCGGGCACTTGGCTTATTTCAGCCAAATGTGGCCAGACTTCCAGAACCTAGCCATGGCGACTCTGAATGAAATCCACTGTAGCTGGCCATTGAGATGGCTTCTTGGACGATCAGCCAAACCAGTCAGGTCCCTGTACGAGCACGTTTGGTAGTTGCCTAGTGACTATATATGTCAGAGCTGCCGCAGACATCTCACGTGGGGATTTGGATGTCCCAGGGCTAGTGCTGCATCTGAAATATTTTGGTAATAGTAAAATTCCCTCCGCACCAGCATTTTGGTTGATCCACTTAGGCTTCTGAGGTTATTTGTAGCTTTCCCCACCAGCTCCTTAGAGGTTGTCATTACCGGTGGCTCCATGTTTAAGTTCAGCCCAATTACAGTGTTCACCATTACAGTCAGGCTGAAAGGGGGTTATAATCAAAACAACTTATGGCACAGTAGGAACAAGGCCTCGCTGGAACTCACTGTGTAACCCAGGTTGGTGTCTTACATGGGATTCTCCTACCTCAGCCTTCCAAATTGCTGGGATTACAGGTGTGCACCACCATACACAGCTTGAAACCAGCAAATTCTGGCAAGCAAATGAAATAATAAAAGAGCTGGGTCTGAAGCCTTGAGGTCCATCCCCAACACCGTATAAACCAGATATTCTGGCACAAGCCTGTGATCTCAGCAATCAGCAGGAAGATCAGGAGTTCAAGGCCAGCCTGGGCTACATGATATCCTGTCTCAAAAACAAAGAAAACCTAGATACAAGTGTGGTGAGCCCTCCGAATCTCAATGATCTAAGTCCCTTACTGAATGTCTTCCTTCTCTCTAAAGTATTTGCAACAAATTACTATTTTGCCTTTTAGACTGCTCTTTCAGTCCAGCTAAGGGCTTTGGCTGGACCAGGAAGGGCAAATATGTTTCCTTTCAGTCTGGTGCCCCTGCCTGTGGACAAAGGGGAACCCAGGAGGCAGAAATAGTTTTGTTTTCTTTGTCCCTGTGATTTCTTTTTCTTTTCCTTCTTTTTTCTTTCTTTCTTTCTTTCTTTCTTTCTTTCTTTCTTTCTTTCTCTTTCTTTCTTTCTTTCTTTTTTCTTTCTTTCTTCCTTTCTTTCCTCTTCCTCCTCCTCCTCCTCCTCCTCCTCCTCCTTCTTTATTTTTTGTAGTCTTGCTGTCCTGGAACTCACTCTGTAGACCAGACTGGCCTTGAACTCACAGACATCTTCCTGCCTCAGCCTCCTGAGTGCTGGGGTTAAAGCTGTGTGCCACCATCGCCCGGCTGTCCATGTCATTTCAACCATTGATGACACAAGCTAGCACTCTTGTGGGATTCTCCATGGCATCTCTCCTTTTCTCCCCTCCCTTGCCCTCCTTTCTTCTCTCTGTTGAAACAGGGTCTTGTTATGTAGCCCAGGCTGGCCTTGAACTTTCTTATCTTCCTGCCTCAGCTCCCCTGGCACTGGGATGACAGGTGTGCTCACCACACCTGACTGTGTGGCACTTTCTGTATTTTGATGTCAAGCTCCCATCTAACCCTCTTCAGAGCCTGGGATGTTGGTAGAGTGTTTGTCTAGCATGCAGGAGGCCTTGGGTTCTGTCCCTGGCACTGTGTATTCCAAATATGTCACACACCTCTAATTCCAGCACTTAGAAGGTAGAAGCAAGAGGATTGGAAATTCTAATTATGACCACAGACAGTGTCTGGCTAGTCTGGGCTACATGAGTCCTTGTTTCAAAATTGACAACAACTACAATAAAGTTACATCTTAGAGAGAAAGGGAGGGAGGAAGCAAGGAAGGAACTGGGAGGGAGGGAGGAAGAGAGAGAGAGGCTTTCCATTTTTAGCCAGGTAAAGTGCTTCATGCCTGTTTTTATAGCACTGGGGATGCTGAGGCAGGGGGATGATAGTAACTTGCTAGGCTATGTGGTGAGTGAGACCCAGCCTCAGCAAGCAAAAGAAAGAAACAAAAGATAGAAACACAACCTTTCAGTTTGGGATGGAAGTTTGTTGACTCTTAGAACTTGTTTTTAGTTTTGAGACAGGGTCTGACTCAGTAGCTCTTCCTGGCCGAAAACTTGTGGGTGATCCTCCTGCCTCAGTCTCTCAAGTTCTGAGAAGTATAGGCCTGAGCCACTATGCCTTGTAACTCTTAGAACCCTTTCCGGGTTCCATCCTAAAGGGCCCATTGCCTCTCGTGTGGTGGGGACTGCAGCTCAGTCCATGATGGGGACTGCTTCTGCTTCTGATAACTGCTTCTGGTCTCCCACAGATTCGGACACTGGGGTATTGCTGCCAGCTCGTCGGTGGTGTCCTAGTGGAACAATGTCCCAGCAGGTCTGAAATGGGAAGGCGATTGCTGGTGGTATCAGCCCAGCTCAGCCACTGCAGGACTGTCTTGCGACTCTTTGATGATCCGGCCATGTTTGTCTACACTAAGCAGTATGGCCTGGGGACAGAGGTAACAGGGTTAATGGGGCTGTAGGGAGAGGGGACTAGACCTTCCCAAGGAGCTAGGAGCAGTGGCCTCTGTGGGTGTTTTAAGGGCTTCTCGTTGGGTAACTTTATTATTTTTTTATGGCAGTGTTGGCCATGGAACTGGGGCCTTGTGCGTTACTTAAGCACCTGACTGCCAAACCACATACACTACCCCTCAGTGGGGGTTTCTAGGCCAGGGCTCTGCTGTTGAGCCCCAGCCCCAGCCTCAGCAGGTAAAAGTGCTTGCCGTTCAAATTCTATCACCTGAGTTTAGGTCCCCCACATTAGAAAGCTCACAACTGTCTCTAACCCCATCTCTGCAGAATCCCACACTCTCTTCTGGCCTCCAAAGGCACTTATACTCATGCGCATAACACACACACACACAGTTCAAGGTCATCCTCAGCTACATAGTGAGTTTGAGACCACCTGGTTTATGTGAGACCCTGTCTTTAAGGTAAAATTCTGGGTCAGGCAAATGGCCCAGTGGTAACAGTGCTTGCTACTTAGTCAAGAGGATGAGAGCAGGTTCCCAGCACGCATGTGCAGCAGCTCAGAAATGCCTCGACCTCCAGCTTCAAGGGATCCTATGCTGTTCTGGTCTCAGGGTACTGTACACACACACCCGAAATAAATAAATAAAAATTCAATAACAGCAACAACAAACCTTTGGTGTCCATTCCAGTCCTTCTGAGGTGATGCTCAGGGCTTTTTTTTTTCTTTTCTTCTTTTTTGAGACAGGGTTTTTCTCTGTAGCTTTGGAGTCTGTCCTGGAACTCTTTCTGTATTCCAGGCTGGCCTCTAACTCACAGAGATCCATCTGCCTCTGCCTCCCAAGTGCTGGGATTAAAGGTGTGCACCACCACTGCCAGGCAGGCTTGGGGTTTTGACAGCTCTCTGGGGAATTGTATTGCCTGAGTTGAGACCCAGTGAGCTGTCCAATTAGCATGAACCAAGGAAGCCAGGCCTGCACGGGCCCCCTAGCTCTCTTCTTGTACAACTGTTAAGAGGGTGGGCTGTGCTGCCCAGACACCAGGGCACAGACTCTGGTCACGGGATGTCTTGTGGCCCAAAATGGCACCATCCTAAATCAGGCAGTAGAAAGGTCTGACTTGCAGGCCTATCTCCAACACTTGGTTTCACAGGAGGAGGACATCTTCATCCGATTGTTGTCTGTCCTGAGTAACATGGCTGATCAGCTGTACTATCCATGTGAGCATGTCGCTTGGGCTGCTGATGCCAAGGTCCTCCAGGTGGACGCTGCTCGGTGGTGGACACTGAGCACTGCCCTCTGGATTCTCTCTCTACTCCTTGGAGTTGTCAGGTACGTGACATCTGCCAGAGGGGACACCTGAGGTCCCCAAGTAGTGTTACCTCAGCAATAAGGGGTGCCAACCCTTACATACTTCTTTAGGAGGCTCAAAGGAGAGGGCAAGTCTTCGTACTGGAGTTTCCTTCCTTAATTTTTAAGACAATTTTTATGTGTATGGTATTTTGCCTGCACATGACTGTGCACCGTGTGTGCAGTGCCCACAGAAGCTAGAAGAGGATGGCAGGTCCCCTGGAACTGGAGTTACAGATAGTTGTGAGCTGCTGTATGGGTGCTGGGAACAGAACCCAGGTCCTTTGCCAGAGCAGCCAGTGTCTCAGCTGCTGAGGGTGTCTGCAGCACCCTCCCCACCCCTCTAGACCCTCAACCCAGTTTGACCCTGGGTGTTTGTTTTCAGTAAGGTAACTACGTAACAGTTAGGCACAAATGTGCTGTTTAAAACAACACAGATCTGTTATTTACAATGCTGGAGGTCAGAAACTTGCAGTCAATTTCACAGGGTAAAGTCCAGGTGGGGTAAGGCTAGTCCCTTCCTGGAGGCCCCATAGTGTTTCCATTTCTGCCTTTTTCCAGTGTCTAGAGGGCCCACATCCCTTTGCTTGTGGCCCCTCCCTCCTTCAAAGTTAGCACAGCAGAGTTTTAGTGTCTCTGTCTTCTTTGGATCCCTGCCCTATCTCTCCCCTCTCTCTCTTAAAAGATGTATTTATTTTTGGGAGCTTTTAAAGAAAGATTTTGTTTTTAATTATGTTCATGGTTTCATGCATAGTAGTGTAGTGCCTGTGCCAGAAGAGGTGTTGGGTCTCTGGGTTTGGAGTTACTTGCAGCTAGGAGCCACCATGAGTGCTGGGAACTGAATCCACTCTCTGTAAGAGCAGTCAGTACATTTGCTTTGACCACCACCAGTCCCATAAAAAATGAATTTATTCATTATTTGTGTTTGTATGTGATATGGTAGGTGTGTGCCTGTGCAGAGGCCAGATGGGACATAGAATGTCCTCTATCACTCTTTTTGCCTTTTCCTTCGAGGGGGTGTCTTGGTCTCAACCCAGAGCTTGTGTTTTGGCTAGTTTGGCAGCCAGCAAGCCTCAGTGATCCTCTGTTTCTCCTTCCCCTTCCCTCAGCCCTGGGATTACTGGAGTGTGCAGGACCATGCCCAGCTTGCCATGTGGGTGTTGGGATCTGAACTCAAGTCCTAATGGTTGTATGTAATTGCTCTTAACCACGAAGCCATCTCCTCCTTGCTTTTCTTTTTAATTTTTATTATATTTAAGCCTGTATGTGTGAGAGGGCATGTGTGAGTATGTGAAGTCAACCTCAGATGTCATTACTCAGTCATTCCCCTTTAGTTTTCTTAATTTTCTCTTTTAGTTATTTGTGTGTGGGGCATGCATGCACTGTAGTGCACATGTGGAATTCACAGGACAACTTAACATGAGTTGGTTCTTTCCCCCTGAACCATTTGGGTTCTGAGGATTGAACTCAGGTCCTTAGGTTTAGTTTCAAGCACCTTTCCTGCTGAGCAATCTTGTTGGCTCTCTACTTTATTTTTTATTTATTTTTTTCTTTTCTCTATTCTTAGTGGTCTGGGCCTTTCTCATTCAGCTAAGTTGGTTGTTCAGTGAGCACCAGGTCCCCTCAGCACTGATTTTTTTAAGGGTTATATTTGCAGGCCATATATATATATATATATATATATATATATATATATATTTACTTCATTTATTTTTGTGTGTGTGTGCGTGTGCTGTGGCCCATGTATTGAGGTCAGAGGACAAACTTGGGTAGTTACCTCCTTTTCCCATGTGGATGCTGGGATCCAACTTAGGGTTTTGGGCTTGGCTGCAAGGGCCTTTACCCACTGAGCCATCTTGCCTACTCCTCCTTTTAATTTTTGTTGCTTTTTTTTTTTTTTTTTTTTTTTTCCCCAAGACAAGGTTTCTCTGTGTAGCCCTGGTTGTCCTGGAACTCACTCTGTAGACCAGGCTGGCCTTGAACTCTCACAGAGATCTGCCTGCCTCTGCCTCCATGGCATGTACCCCCACCACCCAGCTTCATTTTACTTTTTATTTTGAGACGGGACCTCATTAAGTATCCCATTGGCTCCTCCTGCTTCAACCTCCCAGAAGCTGGTATGACAGGCCTGTGCCACCAGCCCTGGCTCTGGTAATTCCTTTCCCGCCTTTGGATGTGCTCCGCTGACGTGCTTGGACAATATCCAGATGTCCTTTCCTGACTATGGTTTCTTGCTGACCTCAGCTGACCTCCGAGGTCCCATCAAGCTTCCTGTCTCTGCACACTATTGGCTGTCTCCCGGCACTGGGCAGCTCCACAGCATGGTCCATTCTAGTGGGATCTGGGTTAAGTGATGAGTCCTGGGCTTGGAATGTGGTTCGGTTGGTAAAGTGCTTCCTAGCACACACAATGCCTTGCTCTCCACCTTCAACGTTGTGTAAACTAGTTGTGGGGGTGCCTGTCATCCCAGAACTCAGGAGGTGGAAGCAAGACGATCAGGAGTTGAAGGTCATCCTACCCATCTGGTTCAAGGCCAGCTTGGGCTACAGGAGGATCTGTTCTAAAACACTGACTAAAAGCAACTCAGGGAGGAAAGGGTTTATCTGGCTTACACTTCCAGGTGGCACTCCTTCATTGAGGGAAGTCAAAGCAGGAACTCAGGGCAGAGAACCATG